ACAAGACACCTCCAAAATCCTGGGCGGTCATTCCTGCCGTTTAATGCTTCTTTTGGATGTCTTTGATTAAATCGGATTTTCTAGTTTTAGAAACTTGGGAAGAAAGGCTTTCTCAATTCAGCTTCGTTTGGGATCCTTTGAAGATCCTCTCAGGTATGGCTTCCAAAAATGCCATGAAAGGTGTTACAATTCCCTAACTAAATACTTGAGTATAGAAGACAAGGAGTAAAGTTAACTTCAAACAGCTTCTCTTTCTCATTCTTAATTCAGCTTTATCTTTTTTTTCCCCACGCTCTCCAGCCAATTGAGACATCAGACACAGCATAGGATTTAATAATAAAAAAAAATACAGAAGAATAGAGTTGGAAGGGAACTTGGAGGTCTTCTAGTCCAACCCCCTGCCCAAGCAGGAGAAACTATACGGGTAGTCCTCGACTTGCAATAGTTGATTTAGTGGCTGTTCAAAGTTACAATGGCATTGAAAAAAGGGACTTGCGATCAGGTTTCACTCTTATGGCTGTTATAACATCCCCATGGTCGTCTGATCAAAATTCAGGTGCTTGGTAACTGACTCGTATTTACGACGGTTGAAGTATCCCAAGATCACGTGATCCCCTTTTTGCAACCTTCTGACAAGCAAGAAGCCAGATTCCCTTCACAACCATTTGACTAACTGAACAATTCCTGTGATTCACTTAACAACTCTGGCAAGAAAGATCACAACACGAGGCAAATTCCCTTAACGAATGTTTCGCTTAGCCGCAGAAATTTTGGGATCGATAGCGGTGGTAAGTTGAGGACTACCTGTAACCTATAGACCCCCAGGTAGTCCTCAGCTCAGGACCACAATTGAGCCCAAAATTTCTGTAGGAGATGACCAGGCTGAGCGCGAGGGAAGAGTCAAACGTGTCATCAGTCTTCAATCCATTTGATCTAAGTCCAGCACACCTCGAATTCCATTGATTCTTATCGATCGCCAATTTGCTTTAACCGTTAGCAGTTCAGATTCTTGTAGACAGCATAAGCGTGCAATAAACCTTTATGCAAGTAATCCTCAACTTATGGCCACATTTGAGCCCAAAACTTATGTTGTTACGTTGTGAGGAATTTGTGAAGTGAAGTCGCAAAAGGCGGTCACATGACTCTTGGACACTGCAATTGTCATAAATGTGAGTCCGTTGTCAAGCATCCGAATATAAATCATGGGACCAGGGTAGAGGTGGTATTCAGCCAGTTCTGACCACTTCTGGAGAACCAGTAGCAAAAATTTTGAGTAGTTCGGAGAACCGGTAAATCCCACCTCCGACTGGCCCAACCAATCCCATCTATTCTCCGCCTCCCGAGTCCCAGCTGATTGGCTGGGTCTCCTTTGGTTGCCCTGCACAGGAGAATGGAGCTGGAAAGCAGGTTAGTGGAGTGGGGAAGGAATGGGATTTTGCAGTATCCTTCCACTGCCACACCCACCAAGCCATGTCACACCCATAGAACCAGAAGTAAAAAAAATTTGAATCCCACCACTGGACCAGGGGAATGCTACAATCATCCAGTTGCTTTTATTTCACTTTTCTTTTGGCTTCCAGGAATGAGCTGACCTAGAGTGATCCTTGGGAGAACTTGGCTGCATTCCCATTCCAGCCAGACAGAACTTTCTTGATTTCTCTAGCCAGACTAAATCTCTTTTTTTTTTTTCAGATATATGGGATGTGTGTGTGTGTCTGTCTGTTTGTGTGTGACAATGAGAAAGGAGAAAGAGATTTCATGGAGAACCAGAAGATGTTCGTGGACACATCAGGAAGACATTTGGCAGGAGAAAAATTGGCCTGCTAACACAGTTTAATTGCCTGCCTCAGTTTCTTTGGCGCTGTTCCCTATTTATTTATGAAACGGGACTACCCAGTAGTTTGGCTCTTGGAGGAAAGTTCCTCAAAGGATTGCTGTTCCCTTACGTGCCGCACTGGGTAAAGAAGTTTGCTTTCAGATCATGTTCCTTTTTTGGGTCTTCCATGTCAGGTTGAATGGGGACAAGATTTTGACCGGGAAGAGGGATGTCCTCCTCAATGATCTTTCTAACTGCTTGGTTATTGAAGGAATCGTCCTTCGGCATCTCTCTTGGAGGGCTTATCACAATGTTGGCAAACCTTTTTGGCACCGAGTGCCAAAACAGGAGCGCGTGTGCAGGAGCGCTGGAAACCGGAAGGGCAGCTCCCCGGCGCACATGCGTGCGCCGGGAAGCTGAGCTTCTGGTTTCCAGCATTCCCATGCATGCAAAAACAGGGTGACAGCTGGCATGTAAAGAGAGATGGCTCTGCGTGCCACTTCCAGCATGCATGTCATAGGTTCACCATCACTGGAGCCTTATCATCATTCCGAATAAAATACAGAATATAGAATAACCAAGTTGGAAGTATGTATCCATCATCATCGTAATGAAATCCACCCACCTCTAAAAGAAGGAAGGAAGGAAGGAAGGAAGGAAGGAAGGAGGGAGGGAGGGAGGGAGGGAGGAAGGAAGGAAGGAAGGAAGGAAGGAAGGAAGGAAGGAAGGAAGGAAGCCTTCCTTGAAGTAACGGTAAGGCAATTCAGTAGACGTAAGGTTAGGAAGCAAGGAAAAATAAGCACATGGCATACAATGTCAACTTACAGCTAAAGAAATCCTAAAATTGAAGCATGCAGAGACCCAGAACATAACTCCGGAAGACAACTTCTACATTTCTCCTATTCTGCTCTGCTACAAAACTTCAGATTTTGATGCGCTTAACTTTCAAAGTCTTCCCGCATTCAACTGCTAAACGTTAGATGTGGCACTATGAATTCACTTCAAAAGAGGATGCTTCCAAGACTCTGCAACCCCACGTCTTTTCCCAGGATTACCCAAACAACTTTAAAGGGTATCCTAATAGTGCAAATCCTTCAAAATGAGCGTTTTAGACTTCATGGGGCCACATATCCTTTTGTATCATTAAAGCACCTGCATCTTTTTATTGCTTTGGAAGCTGTCAGCTGTCTTTGCATGCAGATACAGGCACAGCCTATTTGTATCGCTGCTGTGCACGCTGACTGCTGCGAATATTTAATATATTTGCACCTCTAATATTCTGGAGCCTCTTTCATGGAATCCTGTTGAAGTTCTACACAGCCCTCTTAATCAGTCATCGGGGCTATGGCAGAACAAGGGTTTACTCTTGAGTCAACTTTTGATAGGACAGTGTCACCGGCACTCCTCTATTTGCCAATCCTATGACATGAAAGCTTTGATGTCTCTAGTCCTAGTGGATCAACATGACCTCCTCTTCTGTTTTCTTGAGTTTCAGTTAGTTAGTTAGTTAGTTAGTTAGTTAGTTAGTTAGTTAGTTAACTTTATTGTCATTGCACCTCGTACAAGGAAATCAAACACCATCTTCAGTGCACATCATGACCTTGAAAATAAACACAAACAAACATCCTTCACACTCCACACATTGGATAAAAAAAAACCCGACACCGCACCAACACTGCACTATACAATAGAATTCAACAGAGCTACTGCCCTGGGATAGAAGCTGTTTTTCAGCCTATTTGTCCTTGGTTTTATTATCCTGTACCATCTGCCAGATGGTAACAGTTCAAAAAAAGGGGTTGCCCAGGATGAGATGGATCTTTGAGGATGTTTTGAACTTTCTTAAGGCAGCGGGTGCTCTAAAGCTCTTCCAAAGAGGGGAGAGGGCAACCCATGATCCTCTGGGCAATGACATTAACCCTCTGGAATGCTGTCCTGTCTGCCCCTGTGCAGTTGGCAAACCATACAGAGGTGCAGTAAATTAAGATACTCTCTATGGTGCAGCGTAGAAGGACACCAGCAGTTTTTCATCCAGTTGTTGTTTCCTGAGAAGCCTCAGGTTGTATAATCTCTGCTGGTCCCTTTTGACCAGGGCTGCAATGTGAGTGCCTCAGGTCAGGTGCTCTTTTAGGGTAACACCCAGAAACTTAAAACTGGACACTTGCTCCACTCGGTCTCCATTGATAAGCAAGGGCTGGATGTCTGATCTGTTCCTTGTATAGTCCACTGTAAGCTCCTTGGTCTTATTGGTGTTGAGGACCAAGTTATTGTCTCCACACTACGAAAGCAACCGGTCCACCTCATCTCGGTTGGCAGACTCATCCCCCACCACTGTTGTAACAGGGATCCTGTTCCTCTATTCATCATTATCATCTTTTAACGACCCCATAATCCCTTGCAAAAATGGAGCAACTGAATGGAACTGAGAGTTTACTGGCCGGATGCCCTTCCTGTCACTAATGCAGAGTTATATTCAACAAATATATTTTCAAAGTGCCCGGAGAGAGAAATATCTGCCTCTACCTAGGATCGAACTCACAGCCTCCTGATTGTGAGGCAAGAGTTCCCTCTCTAGTCCACCACACGACTTACCCTGTTCCTCTATTGATCCATGTAAAATTGGATCTTTAATATTGATCCAAAGCATCCATTCCCAGTCAATAAAAGACAGAAAGAGAGAGGGGGGGGGACTCTAGATGGACTGAGCAACTGAATTGAATCAAGCATCATTCTCCAACAAAGTGACACTGGTAGTCCTCAACTTACGACCACAATTGAGCCCAACATTTCTGTCGCTAAGTGAGACAGCCCATCAGTGAATGTTGCCCTACGCTACAGTTTGTTAAGTGAATTGCTGCAGTGCTTCCGTTAATAACATGGTTGTTCAGTGAATCTGGTTTCCCCCATTGATATCTGCTTGTTGGAAGGTCGCCAAAGGTCATCACATGACTCCAGGATTTGGCAACGGTCATAAATATGAGCCAGTTGCCAAGCATCTGAATTTTGATCACATGACCACGAGGAAGCTGCAACGGTCGTAAGTTACATTTTAAAGAGCTGTTGTTGCAAGTTGGAACGGCGACTAAACGAATGCTCGTAAGTTGAGGACGACCTATAGGGAATAAACCTTGAAGAAAAGAACAACAGTGATGGTAAATGAAGGATCCGTAGACAGGAGCTATACCTTTACTTTGGAAATCAGGGAGAATATCGGATGAATTCTGTGCAATTGCTGACCTCCTATAGACCATGTGAAGCCGTCCTCTCTCTTCCTCCATTTGTTTGCCTCTCTGCAGGGGCTCAATGAAAAATTCATCTTCACCAACTTTGATCATGCCAGCCTAGGGAGAGAGCGGGGGAAAAAGAAAGAATGAGGACTTAAACAGGTGAGGAATCCAGCCTACTGATTTGTAAAAAAATAAACCGCGGCTATCATGAAAAAGCAAACCAATGAAAGTAATATACCTGTCAACTCATAAAATATTTTTTCTGGTCTTTTTGGAGTTGACAACAGAAAGGGAGCGGGGGGGGGGGGGGGAACAGTGCAGCAGCTTGCAAAACTGAAACTGCATTCCATAAATGTTTTCATAGATAGTTTCTAGGCGACTGAAGTTTCTGCCTCTGCAAAATTCTAACTGGAGAGTATGATGGATGACTCTTGGCTATGGATGTGTCCCATTGGAGAATATGAATTATGATACACCCAGGAGATGGGAGGGAAACCAGGGTCAAGGCTGACAATAAATTAGGTGTCTCAGAGTCGGCTACACCCAGGTAGCACTAGTATGTTTACTCCTAATAAATCTTCTTTAAGCTTTGAAAATCCAGCTAGAGACTCATGATTTAAATGGGGGTAACTACTGGAGCCCTGACAATATCCTGTTTCCCTGAAAATAAAACCTGTCACAAAAATAAGACCTAGCATGTTTTACGTGTGCACCTAATTTAAGCCCTACCCCCCAAAATAAGCCCTACTTAAGAACCTGCACAGCTGCCTGCCCCCCCCCCCATTCCTTCGGGTTCCTCATGGTGCCGTGGCCACGAGGTACGGCGGGATTGGTGGAGCTGCCCCATGCACCCCACACCGGCTTACCTCAGGACCCCCGCAGACACTCCACCCATGCCCTGACACTTACTTCGTGGCGGCAGCACCAGCAGCCATGTGCAGCAGGAGCCCACGTGGCCATTGGCTCAATTTTAGCGCTTGTTCATGGGTGCCACAGAAGCAGGAGGCTGAATGGTGCGCTGGTGCCACGGCCATGAGGCAAAGCAGGTGTCGGGACATGGATGGCCTGGCTGTGGGAGCCCTGATGTAAGCTGGTGGGGGGCGCATGGGGCAGCTCCACCAGTCTCGCCTTGTGGCCGTGGCACTGGTGCTTTGCTCAGCCTCCTGCACTGTTGCAACCAAGAGCAAGTAGAAGTGGGCTGGTGGCCACGTGGGCTCCTGCTGGACAGGGCTGCTGGTGCTGTGGCAACGAGGCGAGGCAACTGTTGGGGCATGGGTGGCCTGGTTGTGAGGTCCCTGAGGTAAGATGGTGAGGGGCATGTGAGGCAGCTCCATTCCCCCCTTGCCTTGTGGTGGTGCTGGTATGCCCTGCGGCCTCCTGCCCCGCCACGAGGAAGCAGAAGAGGTGTGCCTCCCGTACATGGGGAAAAAATAAGACACCACCCCCCCTGGAAAATAAGCCCTAATGCTTATTTTGGGACCCAAAAGAAAATAAAGACCTTGTCTTATTTTGGGGAAAACAAGGGTTATTAAAAACTGTTACACTTTAAAAAAATGTGCCACTTAGCAGCAGAAATTTGGGGCTCAATTGTGCTTGTAAGTCGAGGACTACCTATAAAACTATTTTCCGAAGTGCACATAAGCCAGCAATAATAGGAGAAAAGTATCGTGAAATGTTGAGGAGGCTTCAGTTTCCTTGGCAGCTGCTTGATTAATCACATAAAGAAGATAGAAAAGAATGTCAAAAGACGGCAACGAGAATCAAGTTCGGAATAAGCTTCCATTAAAAGCTTCCCTGGCAAATCTGAAAAGCAGATCAAAATTCTGCAAAAAAAAAAAAGTGTTTTGGCACTAAACACTGCCCCAGAATTGCATTTTCTTTCTCCAAAAAAAAAAAAAGCCAGTGCAATCTTTTGGCAGGGCCAGTGGGGCCCAGTTGGAACCGAATTAAAGCTATTCCTGGCACTATAATCAACATGGGATATAAACACAGAAACATACAAGGGGAGACCCACAATGCAATAACAGCCCTGCTAGCAAAGATCACCAATTACTTGACACCCATGTTTTGGATTACAAAAAAAGATGTTGAGACTTTGGAAAAAGTGCAAAGAAGAGCAATTAAGATGATTAAAAGGCCTGGAGACTCAAACATACAAAGAATGGTTGCAGGATTTGGGTTTGGCTAGTCTAGAGGGAAAAAAAAGGACTGGGTTTTTAGATCCAAACCCATTTCAGTGGCTACAGTGTTTAGATTTTAAGTGTGGTTTATTCTTGGTGTATCACATTATCTCAACCTGCCCTCACTGAATAGCTTTGAGGATGCTGCCCTTGCATTTGTTTAGCTATTCTGAGAATGTGTCTGCTGAAATCTAAAGTTGGTTAGGAACATTTCATGCAAGCTAAAGAAATATTAGAGATAAAGTAAAAATGACGAATTGATGGGATTTGCCTCTACAAGTCAGAAAATGTGGAATTTGGCAACAAGGATGGGGTAAATATCATACATAGCTCTGACATCTTTATTTATCTGCATTATATGGATTTATTAGAGACTCAAAAGTTCTTTGGCTGAGGTTCTTCCCCAAGTTCAGGAATATGCCTTCTCATTAGAACTCCAATGGAACAATGGCTTTAAATCTATTTTCAACCACAGAAGGGGATTAAAACAGTTTTTGGTTGATTTATCGCTCATCTCCACTGCTTTGTCCTCCCCTGCATTTTAGGCATTCAAAACATACTTCTCTGAAATAATATTTTCTTCTTATAATTAGGTAGGTTTTATCACCATGGGGAAGCTGCAAAGGTCATAAGTGTAAAAAAATGTCATTTTTTCCAGTGTCGTATGAATGGTCACTAAATGAACTGTTGTAAGTCGAGGGCTACCTGTGCCCACACCACAACATCTGACAAGGGTGAACAGTCTTAACTGCAGTTACGGATTCCACAAGTTTTGTGTTACACGGGACTGTGAATTTGCAAAAGCCAGGCTTCCCACAAAGTATAAACTGGAAACACAACAACACATAACTAAAACTGGGATTGAGTCTGTCATCTGCACCTCTATAACTGTCTGGTTTGGTTCTGCAACCCAACAAGACAGACACAGACTTCAGAGAGTAATTAGGACTGCAGAAAAAACCATTGCTACCAACCTGCCTTCCACTGAGGACCTGTATGTATACTGCATGAGTCAAAAAGAGGGCTGTGAAAATATTTACAGACCCCTCACATCCCGGACATAAACTGTTTCAACTCCTCCCTTCAAAACGATGCTATAGAGCACTGCACACCAGAACAACTAGACACAAGGACAGTTTTTCCCTGAATGCCATCACTCTGCTAAACAAATAATTTCCTCAACACTGTCCAACTATTTATTAAATCTGCATTACTATCACTATTAATCTTCCCATCCTTTCTTTCACCCATCTCCTCCCATTTATGACTGTAACCTTGTTGCTTGTATCCTTACAATTTATATTGACTGTTTCCTAGTATGATTTGATTGCTTATTGTACCCTATGACTATAATTAAATGTTCTACCTTATGATTCCTAACAAATGTATCTTTTCTTTTATGTACATTGAGAGCATTTGCACCAAGACAAATTCCTTGTGTGTCCAGTCACACTATATGCTATATCTATATTCCATTTGGGGGGGAGGGAAGCAAGAGATTTCTACTGAAGAGTATTTTTTGACTAGTGAGTATTTGCTAAGCATTATTTTAATGATATCCAAGTAATAAATAAAGGAACAATTTCATTTTTATTTTGTTTTGAGGCTGTTAAAAACAGAGGGGATACAACTAGAATCCTTTCTTATTTGAAGCACACCTGACCTCTGTTATTGTCCAATGAGATAGAAATTATGTGAAGCAGCCCTCCCCCTGGAATAATGAAATATTTTGGGGAACATTAAAAAAGGCAGGAGGGAATATTTCCCCTGAAGGAGAAATTGGGGGGGGGAGTCTAAAGGGAGGCAGAAACTAGGCCCAGTTTTCCTGCTCCAAGCAGAAACTGAGGAGGCCAGCTTTTAGAAATGCAGATTTGGTAATCCATTCAGAAAGACTGGGTCAGCCAGAGACTCGAGATAAGCAATTAGGCAAGCCAAAAAGGTTGAGAGGATTAGCTCAGACAAGCACCTAGGACAGTGATGGCTAACTTTTTTGAGCTCCTGTGCCAAAAATTGTGTGCACACTTGCATGCCAACACCCAGAAAGCAATGCATTTGAGGGGGCCTATTGAGGTAACTCCCCGTTAGGAGAATGAGCGCACACAGGGAGACATAGTGAGAGTGGTGAGGAATAACACACAATCAGCACACAGATACACTGTATAGTAAAATGTAGGTTTTTACTTCCAGTAAACGGTTAAGCAAAGTCCAACAAGCAGTCCAAGTCATACACGGTTAAAGCAGTCAGTTTTTCAGTCCAGGGATAATCCAAATAACAAAGTCCAGTATCATAAATAGTTCAGTAACAGACTTACAGCAATCCAAGAAGAACGACGATCAGCAACAGTCAATAGGGAAAAATTCAGGAACCAAAAACAGCGAACATCAGAACATCGACCAACTAGCAACAACAGGACTAAACAACCCAGGTTTCTGGCTCCATCTTATGGCTGTTTGAGGAACCACACCCAATTACAATTTTAGCATTCCCTTAAAGTAGGGGTCTCAAACTCAATTTACCTGGGGGCCACTGGAGGCAGAGTCTGGGTGAGGCTGGGCCGCATAAGGGATTCCACAAAAAACGTTGTTAAAAAAATATCCTCAAATGTTATACTTTCATATCACGGTGGGGGCCACAGGATATCGTCCTGCGGGCCACAATTGGCCCGCGGGCCGCGAGAATGAGACCTCTGCCTTAAAGAGACAGTATTAAATGTCTATCCTGGTTTATATATTTCCAACCCAACTGTTAGGTGACTATCAATTCCTAACAGGCCCCCCATCCCCCCTGCGCATGGGCGCATGATCTCCCCACTGCTGCTGCTGCCCCCTTACCTGCATTGCGCCTCCCAGCTGATTTTTGGCCCATTTGAGGCCTTTTTTTGGCCTGCTAGAGACTTGAGGGAAGCCTCTGCAGGCTTTGCAGGCCGAAAAACG